ATTAAAATAAATAATATATGTCCGCTTCTGGCGTGTCCAAATAATATTCCAGCCTCGTCATGTCGTCCCAATTCGGTGTGTGTGACTCCTGGTGAATCAGCCTCGAGTCATTCGAGTCAATTCGAGTCATTCGTGAATAGCCATGTGAGTCTGTTCGAGTCAAGACTATTAATAGCTTCTTGGCATCACGATTTTGGTTTAGCCGGCGGCAAGACCTTGCTGCCGCTACTGCTCCCTTTGAGGTGCTGTTCCTGGCTATGCCGTCGGACCTTTCCGGTCCTCGGATCTTCGGCTTGATTGACAGGAAATGCCAACTCTTCCGTAGACAAATGTTCTAGTCAACATAGGTTGCCCCTGCAAAGCTCCCATTCCTCAACCCTGGTCACGGATGGATAGTATTTCCTCCTGTCCTTGATTAGAGTGAACGCCCAACTCCTACGAACCCTGAGGGTTTGTTAAAAGAGAAGGTTTGACTTAAAGCTTTAAGTATGATTTTGACTTTCCAGCCAGTATTGACCTTCCGGTGAGTTCACATCTTAAAGCTTATAGTATATACGCTGCTGTCTCCTAGCTAGCTGCCCGGACTGACACTAGCCCCCTGCTGAGTGATTTATATAGCCGATTACAATACAGCTAGTGGCACTGAATGAGCAAAAATCGCAAATTCCGCGCGTGGCCCAATTGCTGGCTTATCATCGCCAAGACACTCAGTAAAGTTCAACGCCTAGCCGTCAAACTGATCACCGGCGCGCTCCGCACCACAGCGACGGATGTGATGGATTTCCATGCCAACCTGCTGCCTATCTACTCCAGGCTCAACCGTTCCGCCTTCAACGCTGGCGTCCGTCTGGCCACTCTCCCTCTGTCTCACCCTCTCCACCACGTCGTTCGTCGCTGCCGCTACATCCCCAGGTTTCACCACTCCACCATCCACCACCTCTTCACCGCCTTCCCCGTCCTCAAGCACCCCTTTGAGACTGTCGACCCGCGCACTGTCTCCGCCCGCGCCGGCCCCGAAGCGCTCACCAAGCGCATCGCGCCGACGAAGGAGCTAGAGGAGATCACTCGACGAGGAGGACTGTGCGTCTTCACGGACAGCTCAGGCTTCGAGGGTGGAGTGGGAGCAGCGGCGGGAGCGATGAAGGGTCAGGAGGTGGGGGCATGCAGGATGAAGCACCTGGGAACTGAAGCTGAGCACACAGTCTTTGAATCCGAGGTCGTTGGCGCCATCCTGGCGCTCGACATCGTTGCGAGCATCCCGCGCCTTTGCAGCGTCGACGCCTTCATGGACTGCCAACCAGCAATCATTGCCCTCTCCGACCCCAAGCCTCAACCCGGCCAGTATCTTGTCTCTGCTTTCCACTCTGCCCACCGCCGCCTCCTCGCCCGACACCGCACGCTCAAAGTCCGACTTCACTGGGTCCCCGCCCACATCGGCATCGCCGGCAATGAGGCCGTCGACACGTGTGCGAAGGAGGCTGCCCAGGGTTCCACCACCGCGCTGTTGACAAGAATCAAGGCGCTCGAGTCCCCGCTCCCGGTTAGCAAAGCGGCGGCGAAGCTATTCAACGACGAGTGGAAGAGGGATTGGTTGAAGTCCCCCCGCTGCGCGCGCCTCTCCTCCTTCGACTCCACCGCCCCCTCCAACGCTGTCGCCCGCATGTACGACGGCCTCACCCGTCCCCAATGCAGCATTCTCACGCAGCTGCGCACGGGCCACATCGGACTCAATGTGCACCTCCACCACCTCACCATCGCCGCCTCCCCGAACTGTCCCCACTGCCCCACCCCCGAAACAGTCGTCCACTTCCTCCTCCTCTGCCCAGCTTACCGGCCACAGCGCCTTAAGCTCATCGTCCGACTCGGCACCGCGAGACTCTCCCTCAGACGCCTGCTCGCGACTAAGTCCGAGCACAAGGCTGTTCTCGAGTTCGTCCGCAATACCGAGCACCTCCCGCGCTACCAGCTGTAAACACAGCCCGACTTGTACAATATTTTTACTTTTCTCTCCCTCTCTTTCTCTCAATCATCTCGCACTCCACACTGTATTACGATTAAACCTTCATACCTACCACATAGCAACCCCGCTCGCTGCCCGATCACCTTACACTCGCACCCTCACACACTGCCCTCCCTCCGCGCCCGCTAGATACATCCACGTACACTGTATAGTCTTACATGGGCCCCAAGGGGCCCGCATAGACTCTAATGGAATAAAAATGAAATGAAAGGGAGGCTCTTCTTGGCGCGACAATACTAATTCACGTTTTCGTTTCTCCTTGCACACGTCCCGACCGGCATAGCCGTAAGGCCGGATATGGCAGCCTGCCCGGGTATCCCACTCACCGGGGAACCACTGAAGTGCGTACCAGCTAAACTGCCGCACAGGAAGACTCTACGAACAACGCGCCGAAACACGATGGTAACAAGGAAGGAAGGACGAATGCGCACCGAATGCAAGTCCCTCCCAAGCCACGTGCGCGTGCGAAGACAGCAGTTATCTTTCTACACCCGTATGTATATGAGCGTCCATCCATCCAATGCAATATAAAATGAGCACGCACGACATGCGCCAAATTTGGTCTCCTCCTCAAAGAATTTTGGAGAGCCGCACATTGACGCGCTGTGTCCGATAATATTATGCCATTACGCCAGCTAGCCACTGCAGCCGGCCCAGAATCGGTACGAGTCCGCCGACCAACTGGCAAATTTCCCGAGTGTCCGTGTCCGCATGTCTTGAATTTCGTCGGATCGAATGGCCGTCAGCGGGCACCGCGGCGAGACCTCGACGTCGATTTTGGAGTTCAGAGCTGAGCTAAGGTCTCGGTCGCGGGATGGAGACGGCGTCGAGTTGACCTGAAGTGCGTGACACTCCCGGGGCTGATGATTGTTTGGGACCAAAACATCGGCTCCAAACATGTTTTCTTTTTGGTTAACTGTTTGTGTCCAAGCCAAATGTGAACCAGAAATAAACCATGTTTGGGCACCCACTCGAACAGCAAACATCCATCATTTTTCGAACCCAAATGCTCACAGAAAATCTGATATGTTCCGCAAATCTTCTGTAACCAAAAATCAAACTGTTTGAGCTCAAAACAGCGCAAGAACAATGAGATTTTGCATGTTTGTGCCCCAAACCAGAGGGTTTTTCCCCGCCAAACTGACGGTAAACATCTTACATATTTCGGCAGGTTTAGAGGCTTGAACATTCTTGAAAATTTGGGAGTCAAAGGGGATCTAAAAATCAGCTATGTTCAGGTTATTTTTGAACAGGCTCCGAAAGTTGTGCTAAACAGAACACATGTTTGGAAGCCATGTTTCGGGCCCAAAAATCCATCAACCCCAGGAGTGTGAGGTGGTGGGAGGCATCAGAAAACGTAAGTGTGGTGATCGGGGCCGGGAATTCGACCTTGCGCCCAGATCATTTTGTGGCGGTGCTAGTGGATACTCCCCACCAGATCAGTCATAATATAAATGGCGATGGTGTACAAACATTGGAATGATCGGTCTGACGTCTTAGACTCTGCGGTTCTTCCGTTCTGTGGAGGTCGCCCGTTCGATCCTCTCAGCGATCCTTTTTGGTTTTCTCGTTTTTCGCCCCGCGGCGAGCGTGCACCACGCAGTGGGCCCAGCGGCGAGCTCCAGCCCCGCGCAGCGGTCGGGGTCTGGGGCAGAAAGCCCCAGCCGTCCGGGCCGGCGCCCGTAACTCCTCACCGACAAGAAACAATTCTAAACAAATATGCAGCATTTTGTGAAATCTATTATACATGCAAACAATTAATTTTTTGAACTGCTGCAGGAAAAGTTACAGAATCATTGCCAACTTTGGCGAGCTGAAGCTCCACGCAGTGGTGCTCAGCAATAGTCGCCGAGGTTGGCAATGCGGCTGGGGCTTGACTGCGGCAGAGAAAAAAAGTAAAACAAACTAAAAACAAGAGAAAAAGTGGAGCAGCCAGCGCCAGCAAAGGGGCCAGCACCAGCGAGAGGGCCAGTGCCAACGAAGAGGCAGCGCTAGCGAGGAGGAGGGGGTCTGGGGGAACCATTCCCCCAGAACATCACTTGTGATGTCACATCAGTCACAAATGATCTGGGCGCGGGTTGAAGTTCCTCGGGGCCGTGATGGGTCTCACGGTGGTCAAAACGGTGGATACTTAGAGTTGAACGCTGAGCCAGTGTTGGTCGCGGGATAGACGGCGTTGAGGCTGGTGGGAGGGATCAAAAAACGTAAGGAGTGATGCGAGCTAGCTATGATGGGTCTGACGGTGGTTAACGCGGCGAATATCGAGTGTGGTTCAAAAATTCTGGTGTGCGCAGTTTGCGACGCAAAATTCTACTGCAGTCAAAGGACTGTTGCCAAAAGGGAGAGAAAATGTCTTGCACGCTCTATATACGCCGACGCGGGGGTCGAACCCCATTCGACTGAGCACAGAATAAGCGTACATAATTGCGCACCGTGCACTACGTCCGCATTCTTGCTCTCTCCTTTGGTCATAGAATACTGTAGCTCTATTATTTTATTCCGTGGCTTTCACGTCGGCGAAAGGAATCAACTGTTTGGATTCATTGATTGAGTTCAAGTATGAGTGGTTGAATTTCAAATTTGAGCCGTCCAGTCACTTGAATTTCCTGTGTGCGTAAAAGGGTGGGCCAAAAGAGAGAGAAAATATCTCGTACGCCCTATACATGCGGACGCGGGGATCGAACCCCATTCGACTACGTACAGCCACTGATGAGACCAATCGTGCACCGTGCGCTACGTCCGCGTTCTTCCTTTCATGGTTTGACTAAATACCGTAGGATTTTATTCCGCGGCGTTCACGTCGGCGAAATAAATTGATTGTTTAATTTGGATTGATCGAGTTTAAATTCAATTTCAACTTCAACCCGAACCGTCCAGTGTCGAACCAGTGTTCAGCTCTTGTCAAGGTATTCGGGCGACCAGAAGGAACAAATAGTAGCGCGGGGTGCGGGAAGAAAAAAAAAGCTACTGGATTCGCGCATGCGGATGCGGGGAATCGAACCCCGTTGGACTTCAAATGCAGTGTGCGACCCAGTAACCAACGACTGAAAGCAGTCGTGCACCGTGCACCACATCCGCTTTCTCCCCTTATACCAACCCCAACCCAGCAGCCTACCTACAATGTTCTCAACCTGAGAATGTTCAAATAAATCGAAATGAGGAGAGAACGAACGGAGTGGTGCCATCCAAGTTAAGTAACCGCTACCCACTGGTGTCAGTCACTCTTCCATATTGCCCAGCGGTGGGATTCAATGCTTTAGTCTCAGTTGTCGCTGTGTTCAGTCTGGGATATAAAAACGCAAGAGTCTCTATGCGGACGCGGGGAATCAAACCCCGTCAAACTGCGTCAAATGCCGTTTGCAGGAACCAACCAATTGAGAGCAGTCGTGCACCATGCACTACATCCGCTTCCTCTCTCGCATACCTTGGCCAGATAACGCCATTATCTTCATTCGGATTCAACCTCGGGAGGTTCAAATCATCAAGAAGACAAAGAAGGGAAACCCCCCGTCGAAGGCTAGTAAACGCAAGAATGATATACTGAAGAGAGTCAGACAGAGGAAATCTGGGTCAAAATCTCGCTCATAATATCCCCCTTCTCTCAAGTCGAGTCAGGGCGAACATTGTAGAAAGTCCTTAATCGGCGGTTGGGAAGAGCCAAACCGTGGGAAGATCACTGGCACAAATTGAACTCGGAGCTTAATGTTCAACGTTTAACCTCGTGAGCATCCAGGAAGAAAAATATTGCGCAAGGATAACCCAGAAGCGGGCGCGGGGAATCGAACCCCGTCTGACTGCTTCAAATGCCGTGTGCGACCCGCAAACCAATGACAGCAGTCGTGCACCATGCACCACATCCGCATTCCTCCTCTCAGGGTCTAATCCAACAACTGTATTATTTCACGGCTTTCCCCGTTGAACCAAATCGATGGTTTAGATCCAACTTTCCATCGATTGAGTTCAAATTTGAACCATCCAAGTTGAAACAGTGTTCGGCTTTGCGGGGTATGCGCGGCATTGAGAGCACGGGAAATCAATGCCGCTTAGAAATTATACAGCCTCCTCCGTCTCACAATAAGTACGTGTTCAATTTTTCTTCAACTTGCCATGTTGAAATTTAGTGCTTCCTACTTTTTCCCAGTCAGCTCACGTACGTGCGTGGTTCCCCTTGGCTCGAGACGGGGCTGCGAGAGACTATACTCAACCAAGAGGCAGGGCAGGAATCAGCAAAAAAAAAATCCATCATCTCGCCGTGATTCATGCGGAGGCGGGGAATCGAACCCCGTCAAAGTGCGTCAAATGTCAGCGTTCAACCCGCAATTAACTGAGAGCAGTCGTGCACTACGCTTCCTCCCACTCATACCTCGGCCCAATAACACCATACTCTCCATTCGGATTCAACCTCGGGAGGTTCAAATCAAGAAGAAGAAGAGAAAAAAAGAAACCGCGAAGGATAGTAGACTCGAGAATTATAGACTGAAGAGAGTCAGACAGAGGAAAGTCGTGTAAGTCGAGTCAGGGCGAACACCGCGGAGGAGGAGGAGGAGGATGTATAACCGCGGGCGGTCCCAAAGAGGAACAATGCGGGCACTGTACCTACATACATGAGCCTCTCTACATGTATGCTACAGTCGTGAAAGTCGGCGCCAAACCGCGGGAAGATCATGGTAAATTGAACTCTGATCTCAATGTTCAACCGTGTGAAGGAAGAAAATATTGCGCAAGGATAACTCAGACGCGGGCGCCCAGAATCGAATCCCGTCTGACTGCTTCAAATGCAGTGTGTGAAAAACCAATTGAGAGCAGTCGTGCACCATGCACCACATCCGCTTCCTTCTCTCATACATAAACCCACTGTCCAGCAACCGTACCATTCAAACCCGGATCCAACCTCGAGAGAAATTCGAGTTATATAAAATGATGCCAAAAAGAGCGGAACGGGGATATCAAAGTTCGGGTCCACCCACTGGTGGCCTCCCTATATCATCTAAAATTCTGGTGTGCGCAGTTTGCGACGCAAAATTCTAGTGTGGTCAAGGACCGGTGCCAAAAGAGAGGGAAACACACTTCGCACACTCTGTACATGTGGACGCGGGGGGGTCGAACCCCATTCGACTGATGAGCACATACAATGAGAGAGTAATTCCGCACCGTGCGCTGCGTCCGCATTCTTGCTCTCATGGTTTGTTCATAGAATACTGTAGCTCTAGTATTTTATTCCGTGGCTTTCACGTCGCCGAAACGAATCAACTGTTTGGATTCATTGATTGAGTTCAAGTATGAGTTCAAATTTGAGCCGTCCATTGAATTTCTTGTGTGCGCAGTGTGTTCGAAGGGTTGGGGTAAAAAGAGAGAGAGAAAATTCCCGCTCGTACATGCTGGATGCGGACGCGGGGGGTCGAACCCATTCTGAGCACAGACTTGAATGGGAGTAATCGCGCACCGTGCACCACGTCCGCATTCCTGCTTTCATGGTTTGACTGAATAACTTTGGGAAACTGTATTCCACGGCTTTCACGTCGGCGAATTAAAACAAATCGATTGTTTGAACTTTGGATTGATCGAGTTTAAATTCAACTTCAACCGTCCAGTGTTCAGCTCTTGTCAAAGTATTCGGGCCCAAAGGAACAAATAGTAGCGCGGGGTGCGGGGAGAAAAAAAAGCTACTGAATTCGCGAATGCGGATGCGGGGAATCGAACCCATTTAACTGCTTCAATATTAACAAGACGTCACTGGGAGTAGTTGTGCACCGTGCACCACGTCCGCTTTCTCCTTTCTCTTCTCTTGTTCCTTAAGCCTATGTATAACCGCAGTACGACTTGATTTTATTTCACGCCTTTCGCATTGAATAAATTTTTGTGAGTGGTTGAATAATTGATTGAGTTCGTGATCAAGTAACAAGTTTCACTTGACCATGCGGACGCGATGAACTGGACCCCATTTCACAACTCAGAATCTTGTCGGGAATCGAGATGAAACTGGTGAATTTTGTGAAGCTAAAGGCACAGATGACTATATCCTGAAGAGAGTCAGCCAGATAGAGGGAACACAGGAGCCGCACAAGTCGAGTCAGGGCGAACGTCGCGGAAAGTCGTCGGCGGTTGGGAAGGCCAAACCGCGGGAAGGTCATAAATTGTTCAACCGTGTGAGATGGAAGGAAGAAAACAATATTGCACAAGGATAACCCAGAAGCGGGCGCAGGGAATCGAACCCCGTCAAACTGCGTCAAATGCAGTGTGCTGAAGACCAACGATTGAAAGCAGTCGTGCACCATGCACCACATCCGCTTTCCTCCTCTCATAGTTTGGTCTAACAACTGTATTATTTCACGGCTTCCCGTTGAACCAAATCGATGGTTTAGATTCAACATCCAATTGATTGAGTTCAAATTTGAACCGTCCAAGTCGAAACGGTGTTCGGCTTTGCGGAGTATGCGCGCCATTGAAAGCGCGGTAAATCAATGCCCCTGGTATCGATCACAGAAGTTATACAGCCTCTTCCGCATCACAATAAGTACGTGTTCAATTTTTCTTCAACTTGGCATGTTGAAATTCAGTGCTTCCTCTTTTTTCCAAGTCAGCTCACATGGTAATCGTACGTGCGTCGTTCTGCTTGGACGGAGACGGGTTCGGCGATAGACTATGCAGTATTCACCCAAAGGAGGCAGGGCAGGAATCAACAAAAAAAATCTGCCATCTCGCCGCAATCCATGCGGATGCGGGGAATCGAACCCTGTTGGACTGCTTCAAATGGCCCCAACTATCCAAGATATTGTGAGCAGTTATGCACCGTGCAGCACAAAAGCTTTCCCCCTCTCAAGGCCAAACCCATGAGCTGTACTGATTTTTTTCAACCTCGGGCTCGAATCAAGAAGGAAGAAGAAAACGAGAAAGAACCGCGAATCCTGGCAGAATCGAGACGCACCGTTCAAAGTCAAGTTTACCTACCCACTTTCAAGTCGGGTTTACCTGCCCAGTACCAAGTGGTACACTTTCATATCTGCAGGTAGGAGTGCGTGTGTGTTCAAAAAGGTCACAGCTCACTTGGTGACGGGTCAGGCGGACGCGGGGAGTCGAACCCCATTCAACTGCTTCAAATGCACCACCAATTCACTTCACTCAATCGAGGGCAGTCGTGCATCATGCACCACCCTCTCAGGCATACCACGGGAGATGTACCATTTAGACTCGGATCCAATCTCGAGAGAAGTTCGAGTTATATAAAATAATGCCAAAAAGAACGGAACGGGACCATGAAGTTCGGGCCCACCCACTGGTCGCCCTTTTATATCATCTGCGCAGGTGGAATTCAATCTTTTAGGCCGTGTCCGGTCGGAGGAGGAGGAGGAGGAGGTGCATTAACCGCGGTGGTCCCTAAAAGGAACATACGGGTGCTGTACCAACGTACATGTGCTGCTCGGGGATATAAAACATTCAGTGACACCCGCCCATACAGACGCGGGGAATCGAACCCCAACAAACTGCTATTAACCAAATGGTGGGCCCAACAGTGGTAGCAGTGGTGCGCCACGCACTATGTCCGCTTCCTAAACTTCGTTCCTGGGCGCAGTAAGTGCTCAACCTTTGTTTCCCTTGCCGCGTTCAAGGTTGAACTTTCGAACTTCCCTTTTACTGCTGTGAGTTGGTTTCACACGTATGGGTTCAATATGCGTGGTAAATTCACGCTGCCTCGATTCTCGAACTGGATCCCGAGGAGATTGTGGTATATCTACTGACCCAGGTTCGGAGGAAACAGAACAGAGATTTCTGCAAAAATCTGGGTCATGACATCGGACGCGGGGAATCGAACCCCATTCGACTGCTTCAACCGTTCAACGAGTCTATATTGAGAGTAATCGTGGACCGTCCACCACGTCCGCTTTCCTCCTCTCATACCTCGAACAATAACCATACTACCATTTATTTCATGGAAGATTCATGTTGGCCGTAGCGGCCAGGCCTGCTGCATCAGAATAAGTAAGGCCAACACATTACACAAGATGACTGCCCTACACGAGGACAGGAAGCACACTCTCCCCCCTCACCGACTGTCTGCTGCGAACACACTTCCCTCGGAACTACGGCACACACGAGCCATCCTATGTCCCTCAAAGGCTCAGCCTCCCTGCATTTCATCTCAGCCCCATAGACATGAGCCCAAGTACACCACTCACTCACTACACACATCAGCATGCACACTCCTAACCTCCTTGGCGTCTGCGTACTGCACATTGCCGTCAGCCCGAGTACACCACCTTGCCTGTCAGGGCTCAACTCTCCACACGAGTCTACCCACGCTAGTGCGGCACCACCGCGCCACTACACCATCAATATATGTGCCACCCCCTAGCCTGTCACCCCTAGCCTCCCTCAATCTTAATCCTTTTTTTGGCCTTGTGGGCCAAAAATCACCCTGGTATAAAGCTGGGGCAAGACCCCTTAAAGGGGCAGTGGAGACCATATGCACCTACCATCATGCTCTAGCATACAAAGTTTTTTCCCCTCCAGACATCCTCTCTCTCAAAGAAAAGACATTTGTTTATTGATCTGACTAGGGAGACAGATGCATGTGACAATTTGGTGGTGCTTGCGACCTTTTTTGACACAAGGTAAAAAGTCATTTGTCAAGAGTCTGATGAGACAACAAGTTCGTTTTGGTCGCCGCTGGTGTGAAAGATCGCCATCCAGTGTGCAGACGTGTGCTCGCCAGCGAAGCGCTCACCGAGAGCGCAGACCGCACACAGATTATAGTTGCGGCAGATTAGGCAGCGCACGCGCGGATGGCCGGTGGGGATAAATGTCTCGCAGGCATTGCAGGAGTAGTTCCCCCGCCCTGTATGAAAGGCTGATTCATACAGGATCCAAGTTGGAGAGACGACGGGGACTTGGTTTGTGTTACCGCATATGCGGAAGATTACCGTTGAGTGTGCAGATGTGTGCCCACCAGCAAAATCTTCCCCGAGGGCACAGACCGCGCATAAGTCATAATCGTTACAGATCAGACAGTGCACGCGTGGAGCTAAGGCGGGAATTCCTTCTTCGCAAACATCGCAGGTGAACCCGATGGCACGTAGGGTAAATGCAGGTGACTGCAGTCGAGTGTCGAAGTTCAAGGGTGCATTTGTGCGATAACAGATCCAGGTTTGAGAGATGACAGGGAGTTGGTTTCTGTTGCCGCTTATGCGGAAGATTGCCGTCGAGTGCGCAATGGTGTGCTCTCCGGCAAAGCGTTCACCGAGGGCACAGACCGCGCACAGGTCATAATTGTCGCAGATCAAACAGCGCACGCGCGAATCTAGGGCGGGAATTTCTATTCTGCAGGCATTGCAGATGGGCTTGTTGACATACAGCCCAAGTGCTGGTGCGGGCACTGGAGGACCAAATGAAGGTAGCGAATACGGGGGTGGTAACGCGGAAAATGGACGGTTTGTCGAGTCCTCCGGCTCGGACTCGGGCCCTGACTCGGGGTCGTCGCGGGTGAAAATCCACCGATTCTCAGGAGCAGTCGAGTCTTCCGCGAGGGCAATCTATGTAACGTAGAATGAGCAGAAGAAATGTGGAAGAAGGATAAGGTGGAAAACATACGGGCGTGCCGACCTCGCTGTCCGTCAGACCCCAAAATAAATTCGCATCCGTGGGCGAAATTCTATGGCCAGTCGGGATCCCGATACCCAAGACAATGTCTAGACTCACGTGAAATTTCCCCGCACACGGGTTTCCTTGATGATCCACTGCTGGTTGCGGCGGCCCCCACAGACACTGGCACCCGAGTCCGGGCGTGTCTCGCACGACGCGAAGTGGCTGAAGCCGTAATTATTGATTGTATATTTCTTGCTGGTGAGCAGTGTAAAATTCCACTGAACCGCCATTGAATCATCCGTTGAGTCAGGATACCAGGGTGCATACCTTCTCGTTGCGGGCATTTGTCTGTGCTCCGGCGACGAGGTCCGACTCGTCGTTCCCGTCCGGGAGGACAACAAGCGTGGAGTGCTTGACGTTGGTTATGCTGTATCTGCCGGTGTCGGGGAGCATGATTGTCTGGGAGGAAAAGTTGGTGAAGACTACGTATTATGGCTGGAGATGAAACCAATCCCGTGTAGCGCCATTAAGGATTCCCGATATTGGCCGACGGGGATCAGCATCAACTGAATTAGGCTGACAGCTCATGTGGAGACAACACCGGCATGGCCGAGATTTGTGCCTCAATCACTTTGACGTCTGTACTACATATTTCGACCAATGTTCATGCCATGTCACCCGTCACCCCCAGTGAGAAACAGGGCTCGCCGGGTATCACCAGAACTTGCCAGGTATTGCCTGGGCTCGCGAGAGCCGCTTCAGTCAATCGCGATGCCCTACGATCCCAGACGATGCCACGCATGGAAATAGTGAGAGTTTCCGATACCAAAAATCGCTGGGTATCGCGCGGCATCGGCTGGTATCGTCGAATGTGGGGCAAAATAAAATATATTCCTATTTAATAGTACACGCTGGCGCGCCCATTCCCGCTCCTCTTACTCCCATTCCACATTCCTCTGCTCCTCGGGCATGGTGCGCACCCTTCGGAAATCCTGCGTCCGACGGTATGATCTCCATATACATCCACGCGCGCCTCCGAAGTTGCAGCAATCGTTCGGACTCCTTGACGCGAGGCCAGTTGGTCGTAGTGCCTAAGAAGTGCACGCGCAAGTCGATGGGGAGAACAAGGAGTTGGGGAACGGGGTGTCAGTGTCGGTTTAAGATGATACGGAAGGGGAAACATACAGAGGAAGAAAGTGCATGCTTGTAATGTAGCGGTGTACATGTGCCGTGTCAGCGGAAAGGCGTGAAAAAACCTGACAGGGAAGACTTACTTTGAGGCTGTCTTGAGTGTTAAGAGAATCTTTACCCAGCGAGCCCTGTTTCTCACTGGGCATCACCCTTAAATTGAGTGCGTTATTCAAAGTGTAGTGAAGGAATTAATATTTGATTTAGTTGGGTCCTAAACAAGACATATGGGCATTATTATTATTATTTTCACCATACTTTGAGTTACGCAGCTGGCTAAATTGAGGCCCAGCGGTGTAAATGCGAGCGGAACTTGATCGCATCAAGTAATTGTTCCCACGGTTCAACTTTTAGCGGATCTCATTCTGGGGGGCATTTGGGCGCCGCCAGCACGCCCAAATGCCCCCAGCAATTCACTAAGAGAGCTATCGAGCCCAGTGTTGGCCGTAAGGGTCAAGGGTCAAGCTAATTAAGACTTAATTTGCCCTTAACATGAAGTCTTACCTTCTCTCGGGATCGTT